GGGGGCCAATTGTGTAAATGCTATAACTCGTTTAGGACTCAAAATGGGTTCCAAATATCTATACACGGTTATTGCTTTTGCATTAACGATTGGCTCGCAAGCAAAGGGTGGATTATACGTGATTTATTTATTTGTTTGAAAATAAGATTTGTTTTGTCGCCATGTCAGATGATGTTTTAATTTTTGGCTTCATTGAATCTTTACAATGCATATTTAAACACTTCATTACATTGCTGAGAAATCCCCATTGTTCATTGTATAGATTATTGTATTACACCAGATATAGTAACCCCTATTCCCTACCTATTTAACAGTAAAAACGTTCCTATGCGGACAATCTTGGCAACATGATCAAATTTGGGTCTGATGAACATGATTAACTATGCTGTCTGCATATAGCTCTATAACTCAATCATGAAGTTCTGCCGTGCCCGCAATCAACCTTCATCGCCAGAAAAGGCTACGTTCGAGTCAAAGGACGTTCCGAATTGATTATCTAATCAAGATATCGCGGGGCTCTTCAGTCTCTCTTTTCTCAGCGTACCAGTAGTTACAGTAGAGTCTGGAAGTACTTAATGTTAGCGATATAATCTGGAATGACTTGTTATTGTCGTAACTAGGGGGCATTCCGGCTCAAGGTTTCAGACACTATTGGAGTCTCTATATCCAGTCTGAGTTGCCAGGTTTCCTCAATGGAAGCGATCTATGTTCATTACTGGCTTATTCTTGAGTGGGTTGGATATATATATATATAACGTTATATATCTAATCTGATTGCAGCATCACTGTCACAGAAAACGATTGCTTACATATTACGTTTACCCTTGATGATGTAGACCTAATATTATTACGTTGGCAAGAACCACGTTATGGTTCAAAATATATTTTAAAAACTCCATCACATGCATGGTACTGGCTTCGGAAATTACAATACATAACAATTATCAATACATAATAATGAGTATCAATCTGAGATAAACCTTATATAATACGACTTTGCCAGCTTACCAGAAAGAAATAAAAGCATCTAAAAAGGTTTTTAAAAACTTTTTAGAAGCGTCCTAGTCACTTCATCTAATTCCCTTGCAGATCTTTTCCCCTTAAAAGTCAAGAAAACGTCTATATCGAAGAAATATCCTGCAAGAAGACCTTGAACTTCATGGTTATATAACAAACCCTTCAAACATAGTTATAGACAAAGTTATAGTTCTAGACATCTACCTTTATCATGTAGAATTTAGTAATCTTATACTCTATTTCATTGTTTTTTTATGTTTTGTAATTTGCAATTAGCCTCCGGGCACGAATTTGCAATAAGCTTTTCTATAATGATAGCGCCAGTGAAAACTCCAACATAATAGTACACGTACTCTGTATGCTGGTAGGTTATTGTGTCACATCTAAAGTCTGCAAACAGACCAAGCAAAATGGAGGTCAGACGTAGGTCGCTACTGTGGGATTCTACTTTCCCTGTACTATTACTTAGGGTTCAGCTAGGGGTAGAGAAATAGAAAATAGAAAATGTCAAATATCTTGTCAAAAGACTCCCGGATAGTTTAGGACATGTAGATGACTTGAGAGGGTACTTTGATACTGCTGGTTCATCTAAAGTCTAGAAAGTGAGGACAGACGAAGGTCACCATCACAGGCTTTTCACACACTGTAATAGTACTTATGGTTTGTCTAAGAATGGAGAAATAGTCTACGAAGTGAAAATGGTGATAACATAAGGAGGGAAGGTGATATACAAATACAGATGAATAAACATAATCTAGATCAACCAAATCCATAGCAACTAACAGATGTCTGTTGATGGTGCCGCCATTGGTCAAGCAATCGTGGTCACGACTGGAAAAGATTTAAAGTTGTAACTTTGGAATGTTTTCTGCATACAGCCATGTAATTACTCCATGAAGAAGGACAGTAACCCCTGACGGAGTATTGTAATCAGTTGTGTCCGTGCGTTTGCAGCTGTAACTCACGATCCCTTTGCTGCATTGGTATGTAGGTTGGCATGCCGTCTGCTTGTCTGCGCCAGATAACACCATGGTTCACGGAGGATTGTATCCTACAGAATCTTGTTAGATGTGGATTCAGTATCACAGCTGTTTAGATGATGATACACATAATTCAATGCAAATCTTAACCATCACAAAATGGAACGTGTCATAGAATGTTGATTGGCCATATCCTGTGGAATGAGAAGTAAAGCGTAGTACTGAACAGGGAGATAAGGCGAAGGAACACAGTAGCAAACGCACCACATCTTGGATACCAAACAGAAACATTTTATTCTGCGGCTTGATTACATTTAGAGGCAACTGCACTTTCAACGGTCTGAAACAGGAAGGTACAGTCCCTTTACAAACCAAATTCGAGCTCAATTTCAAATGCAAAACATTTTAAAGCCAAGATTTAAGTTAAATTGTTCCAGGGAAGCACCTTTTTGGTCGGACTAGCAGCGCCAGTGTGCCGACGCAAGCATTATTAAACGTTTGAACCTTTGAGTTCTTGAAACAGTTGGCCTTATCTGTGGATTACGGTATTCTTTAAAATGCATGCACCCGGTTACTGCTCCCAGTATAAGTTCAGTTCTTACTGAGGTGTACCGGGGAGACCTTGTACAGACGCTAGACAGCATGGTGCCACAGAAATCCCGGTAAGCAGGTAGGATTGGCACAGCTAACGTATCGGCAAGAATTGATATGTGCAGTATTGCAACAGATGTCATGACTAACATCGTAACCATGACATTAATAATAACAGCAATAATAAAAATTACAGCGCACATGATGCTTCCTAAATGAATTACCGAATGTGCCATGATTGCCCACATTAGACACATTTTATACAACATGTATTGCTATTTCGTCACCTGTGATGTCGATGCTTACACAAATTTGGAATTTTTCCATAATTAGAATTATATTTATACTTGAATTCTATATTTTCTATACTCCACGCAACGGTAGTTATATCTCCTTAGATCTTTCGTACTAATAAGTTTTCCTACATCAAGAAATATCTTTGACCTACTGCGAAGAAAATCAGTCATAAGTGGCTGTGAAGGAAGAATGATGCTATGGCTTGCAGGGAGCGACATGTTGCCAACGTTCATCTATTAATGTAGCCATACGTCAACTTTGCAGTAACTTCCAAGAATGTGAATTTCCTATGTGCTACTTACGCAATTTGTCACACTACGGTGTGGCACTAAGGCCTACGGTCACCCATATATCTTTATCAATCAAAGTGATATACCTGCACATATGAGTTCAGTTATGTACGTCTATTAATGCATGCGTTTTTCGATTTCTTCCTCCGGCTTCTGAATCGTCTGGGGTACAGTTTTGGTGATATGTCGTGAAGGATCCAATTTGCTTCGCAGCGTTCACATGGCTTTGGGAGTTGGGTAGTCCTACATTTCATGTATGGTGTTGAATAGACTTTGGCATAGAAATGCCTCCGTCTATCCATGTCACACAGTTTTTTTGGCTCGGTCCTGACACGGAATTCTGTTTGTGATTCAACCTTAGGCTGAATGATGAATGTTCCAGTCCTAGACTGATCAACATTTCTTATTACGGTGCATCTTCCGGCTTAGGAAGGTTCATAAATCACTTTTTTCTTGTATCAGAAATAACCACAGTCACTGCGTTATCACGAAATGACTGATCGATGAGATTAATACTCATCAGGATTATACAGTCTCATCCAATGACTCTTGAGAATCTCGTGTATTGCACTGTAGGTATATTAATTGGATCAACTACTTTATTACACTGATTGTGAAAATACCAACAGGATTACATCTGACAACGGTGTTGATTACAGCCGCTGTCAGACAGTCGAATATAGCCTCCCGAGCAGTACCCTAACCATGGTTAGGAGTAGGTCGGGAGCAAGGTCGGATGGGTCGGCTGGTGGTCGTTGAGGTCGGCTACTGTTCGGCAGTGCGCCAGCCGAATGCTTCAACATGTTGCAAACATTCTGGTGTGGACGAGGGGTTTGCCATGGTTAGCTGGTGGTTTGCTGGTGTTCGGGGAGTGTTAAAGGTGCAAATTTGACTCAAATTTAACACAATTTGCTCAGATTCGTTTAGAAAGGTAGGCCAACCTTGGCTGTTTGGTGGTCGAGGGAAGGCTCTGGATATATTACAGGGATTTTAGCATAGATATATTGAAGACGGTCACATCTTTGAAACTTTCGCTGACCATGTGAAATAAGCTATGTCACAGTTCTGGGTGCCCCACTGCGAGTGATGCTTCGTGGTCAACGTTCAAGAAACATTTAGCTAGTAAAGAGTTCATACTTGTCTTGTTTTTCTTTCAACACGACAGTAGGTTTAAACAAGGATAGATTGGTTTGGCTTAGAATTAATTTGAGATTGGAAAAAATCAAAATGGTCTAAGCAAATAGTGGATAGCCAAGGGTTCTTCACCTTTGACCTAGACCACAATGCACCACTCGCGCATGCGCATTTGAAACTATGAGGTGGCTTACTCATGTAGCGTTTGGAAAGGGTAACATAATTTATGCAAATGAAATGAATGACAGATTATAGTAACCTTCACGAACACATGAGACTTTTGTCTACTTGGCTGAGGTATAGCAAAGCAATAATGAGCTCTTTTCATATAGACAACCAGATGAATTACTTTCCATTGTGTCGACATGACAAGGTGACGCCTTAGGAAAGACATATTGTTTTCTTCACAGCCACAACAGCATTAGTCAAGTTTCCAGGCCTGCCGACCTTGACATGCCTCAGCTTATATTATTATCATTAACATTCACAAGGTAATTGTTACTCAAACAACTGGATAGATTCTGAAAACTGCTAAGTAGCATCCTATACTTTTCGACAGTAAGGTTTGGTCACTTGCTTGAGTAAAAGTTTCCTTTTTTATCTCATTACCTGGATGTCTAAACTTCATCGACTTATTTGATTAACATGATTATATTTTCGTAATACTGATTTCGTCTTCTTACTGTTACAGGTTGTACATCAAAAACAAGACGACTTCATCGGTGGAAAGAAATTCGTCGCTAAGGCCTCTTAAACTGAACAATTTACCGTATCGATTGCACGATTCTGAATAGGGATTGAGCCTTCAAATTAAAGGATTGATACTGATGGGCTTTTCTGTATTAAGAGAGAAAAAGTGTAGCCAGGAGACGGCTTGCGCTTCTGCAACAACACAGGAGCGGTTAGAGACCTTAAGCCCCACCGAGGACGCTCAATTCCATCACACGTCTCACCCAGCTTTATTACGAGGAGGCGGACAGAATTGCCGGACGGGCTAATGGCCCTTGACTGCCGCTATTTAAGAGCACCGGATCGTATTCCGAAATACGTCCACGCTACGTTAACGTAACAGATATCGGGGGAAAAGGCTTTCAAAGAGTAGGCACTTGAGAATGTGATCAAAGGCAGGCCCACGTGTATTTAACCAATATTCCGCACCGGTCAGACGTAACCCTTGGTCGTTTGGTAGAAGATTGTTTCATCATCCCGACGTCACAAAACTGACAGGACCGTTAATTCTGTACCGATAGGACCGGGCAAACGGTGCTTTCAAGACCGACTGTGGACATCAGAGAAATGAGCTATGGACAAAGCCGCTTGGCTGTAACAGATTCATTTGAAGCCACAACAACATATCGCGAATGAGCGAAAAAGTAAGAGCCCTTCAAATATCATCGGGAACGATATTTTCACATTGGCCTTGCTGACGGGATAGACAAGTGTGCTGTGTGGTGAAGGTTTCCTGGCATGGCCGAGTCGAGTTGGGTACAGTTTCTGAGGTGGGCTATCTTCACGTGGACCGTACTGTGGACCGAGAGGGTGGCGGGACGTGAGAGGCTGGTGGCCCGCATGGAGGGGGACCTGATCATCGGTGCGCTGTTCTCCATCCACGAGAAGCCGCGGGGACCGACCGGGATCGCCGCGCGGGAATGTGGGGACATCCGGGAGCAGTACGGCATACAGAGGGTGGAGGCCATGTTTCAGGTCAGAAACCTCTCTTCAGTTTCCGTTCACGCATAGCTTAGACTAGAAGGTTTTGTCAGGAAATTGAAAGGAATTTTACACTCATTACGATAGACCAATTGTTAAGAATTCTACACTCATCATGATGGACCAAGTGTTGGAGATATTATTCACATTACTCTCATATATATTCCAATAACTTAATACCAGTCATGTAGTGAAAGAAAATATATGTTTTCCTGTATCTATTACATTATTGACATCGTAAATACTTCGTGACATTGTTACCGTATGTAAGCGACAACCGTCTAGACTGTTATTATGATCATACAGATCATCCTATTATAAGATCATACAGCTACTCCATAGACTAACGGCATTCTTGTTTTAAGTATAAAAACGCCCATAGCCAGGGACATATAAGGCACCCAACGCGATTTCAGGGCACTAAAACTGGATTTTCAAAGTCAAATTTCTGGTCATTTTTTTTGTAGTAAGGAAAATCAGCCCTGATATATGCAAGGCAAAAACGCGATGTCGCTGACGAAAAAAACACTTTTTGTTTCTCATCGTACTCTGGTTCTAGTTTTTTATTGGTGGTACCAAAAATGAAAAGAAAAAAATGCTCACGTGTAGCTTGTTTTGGTGAATACTTCAAACGTGCTATGTACGAAATGTTGACGAAAATGTGCCATGACATAGCCGTAAATGCCAATATTGGACAGCTTTGTTCATCCACAAAATATTTTGGGTTTGCCGCCCTAAAACTGCACTGGATCCCATAAATTGAGAATGATTATTTCCTATCCATCTGGGTAGATCATTCAGAGCTAATTAGGTGGAAACAACGTAAATTGCCGGACCATTACTGTCTACATCCAGAAGAGGCCGCCGATGCTTTACTTGTATTGATAAATCCATAACTTATCTACCGAAGTCTATTCATCCGTGCCATTGTATAAAGTGAGAGGTCTTAAATCACCACGGTTGGATGAAACTCGCGTTCATCATCTGAAGCTTCCTCTTCATAGAAACCTGGCAAGTGAGTCAACTATGAGAAAGGTTATGGACTTAACTGTCAGACCCATGGTAACTACCAAATGAACTCGAAGCCCCTGTCAAACATAGTAGAATATATTGCGTCTTAAAAACTGCCAAATAAACTTTTTCAAAACATGTTTAAAGTTAAAACTTTTTGGTCCAACACAAAAAATTCTCTCACCTAGAGCTTTCCTCAAAACATGTGTTTTTTTTATATTCGAACATCTAATTACAAGACGTGATGACGGTACACTTAAAGTTTTTCAACATATATTAATGCCGTCAACAACACAGGGGACGATACAATACTCATTTCACCTGAGCGAAGTGAGGAAAGTCGTGTAAAGTGCCTTTCCCAAGGGCACAAGATCGGTGCCATGTCAGGACTCGAACCCGGGACCTCTTGGTTCGTTTAATATAGTATGTCGGGCCGCGGGAGTCAGGCCGTCTGTGGTTGGCTTGCTTATGTTCGGTGAGATCAGCTACTGTTCAGCTGCAACAGCCAAATATTTAAAACTGTTGAAAACATCCGGGAATGGACGGGAGGTTTGGCCTTGGTTAGCTAGTGGTTGGCTGGTGTTCGGGAGTTGGTCAGCAGTGTTCGGGAGGGTCAAATTTGACGAAAATGTAACTCAAATTTAATTCATAAGGAAAGTTTACTAATTTTTATTTATTTTATAAAAGTTGATAAAACTGCTCCAGACCTTGGTTGTTTAGTGGTCGGGGAAAGGTTCTGAATGTGTGACCGGAGCTTCTGCGAACAAACTATGTCATAGACGCCTATTAGGAGTGCCCCAACTTCCAAAACAAGTAAGGTCCCCACATTCGGTCCGGAAAACTTTTTGGGAGCAGATGGTCATCATCCTGTCACTAATAAAAGGAGCGGTGATTGAACAGCACCTCATTTCCAAAGTAATCGAGTAATAATTGCCAGTCTTTCTGTAATAACTACTGAACAGAACTGTAAAAGTTCCAACGACCTACATACGCCCACACTTGGCCTACATTCACCCATGCAAGACTAAATGACCCGGCTATTTGATTAAATTGTTTTGCTAGTTAACTAGAGGCTACCTATTTCAGACACGAAGTCAGCAAAATTACATTCATAGGTCATCAATATTGGTGCCTATCGATTTTACTATTAGTATGGATTTACACAACTCTTTTTGTATAACTTACTTTGAAATTGTGGTTAATTAAGCAACACCAATTGAGCTATGCATTAGAAACACGATGTATTGTATTTTGATTCAAATGGCAATTTTATTTCGCCATCCTCCCTTGAGGGTCGTCATTATAGCTAGATACATAAACCGCCAGCCTTTTCATCACAACAGTACAAATGCCCATTGGGAGAGTTTAAATGCAACAGTATTCTGTGTAATCGAAGTTTGATGTATCTAAATCTAATCTATACTGGTTGAATGACCTTTTTGTGATCAAAGTATATGGTTGTGTCTAAATAGGACGATTCGGTTGGTACATATTAAATATAGGTCGATGAAATGGATCCAAAGCGATTTCAGGGCTGTAAAACTGGCTTTTCGATGTAAATTTTCTGGCCATTTTGTTACGTAGAAAATTAAATCAGGGAGGGTTAAAATAAAAAAAAAGTACCACATACTGATATCTATCAGGTAAAATGTTTCGTATAGTAGACTGGTTGTAGCTATATTTATGGGTGGTACCCAAAAATAAAAGGAACCCCTCACTTAGCCTGTTTTAGGCTATTTCAAACACTTCAAGTATAGAATGACGACAAAAAATGAACTAATAAATGGCAGTAAATGCCAATAGCATACAGATTTGCTCACCCAGAATACATTTTGTTTCGTCGCCCTGAAGGGGTTTGTAGCGTCTTCAAGTCATGTCAGCACATGTCAACGTGCCATGTTTTCCATATCCTTTCCCATCTGTGACGTCAGCTGCCCCAGAACCCTCAGGAATAATGGGATAAGACGTTTCTAGGACACCTACCCTGGGTCCAGACATCAATCTAGGATCAAATTTACCCCCGTATCCCCTCTGGGCGCAGTTTTACAACTCTATTAACACATTGTCTAGCGGTGTCTCCTTGCATTAGAGTAAAAACAACAACGGAAAGAGGAGGCCTAAAAGTTTCCGTTGAACAACTACTTGTTTCTTTACTTTTACCTAATAACAAATATTTTCGTCGTAAAACAGAAACATGCAAGCTTCCACTAAATATAGTAAAAATGATTACTTATTTTCATAGTAATTACTGATCGATATAACACACACACGTAAGTAAAAAGATCAAACAAAAAAACAAATTATTTTAAATACTTTAGAACATAATGAAAACAACTAATTAATTAGCTAACTAATGAACTAATGCAATCGAATGGTATATCAGATGTAACAGAAATAGAAGAAAATCAAATTTTATCAATAAACTAATAAGGTATAAAACATAAAGTATAACAAATAGTTGTTTTTCGCAAAGAAGTAAATGTAACATTAGAAGACAAGGAAACAAGCAACTAGGATTGTTGGCTCACACCTTATAGCCCATCAACCTAGTATGCAGATCAGACCCACATACAATACCGACCTCTGAATGCACCCTGTATTCAACGCACGGCCTGTACCGTAGCTCTCCATGATTATACCCCGCGAGACGCAACATTTCCACCGCCTTTAGCAGCCTTTATGTAGGCAGGTGGCCCCTTATGTCACCCGTGATCTCAATGGTCGTTCTGAACACACCGTCTCATATTCTCTAAATACTTCCACAGAGCAAATGGCCCATTACGCTATTTAATGGACATTTTCCTTTCTTAACATTAACCATAGGAAAAGCTCCTATTATTGTGCAGACCCATAAAACAACCACAACGCTTTGATAAACAAGGGTATGGACCGGACAACCCACTAGCAACATTAGCCTATTTATACACAATTCATTATTCTTTGATGGGTCTCTTGAGGAGGTTGTATCGAACAAATCCTCCCAAATTCCCCACCAAACTGTCATAACCGATACACATTAAAACTCGGGGTCAGCTCTTCAATCTTTTCAACTTTGCCATTCGGCGTTGTAATAGGGCGGGCGATTTATTAGCACTTTTCAGCATCCAACTTCAAAGGCCTTTCACTTGTAACTACTACATTATGAACGGGTTTATTTTCCTTATGTGTGATCCGGTTATGGTGAATTTGTGGTTTATGGGCACCTTATTGTCGGCTGCGTTTTTAGTATCGTTCCGAGCGGCCACACCATACTTCAAGGTATACTGTAGTATCTTCAAAGCATAGCGTCTATTTAGAGAAAAGGATTTTTATGCTTTCTCGTAGAGTGGTAGAGGGTATTGAAGTAAATACTGGTCGTTTGTCGGCTAGCTAAGTGCCCGGTAAAGCCCTGGTTATACATAGCCGAATGTGGCTTCCCGAACACTCCCGACTTGATTTACTTGCCTTATGCCGAGTCCATGTGTCCCTGGCATCGAGTCAAAATGGAAGCCCAACAGTCTCTGTCCTCTCTTCTCTGTTGCTCTCTACCTTCTTGTTCGAACACTCCCGAACTCCCAGGAGGAGGTTGAGAGCAAGGTCGGCTGAAGTTGGTTGTCTGGTGTTGAATGGTCGAATTTGAGGTGAATTTGACTCAAATTTGACTGCAGTCTTCTGGAGGTCATATTAGATAAGGGGATTAGTTGACCACACAAAGCCCTCGCAAAGTTTCCATTGACAAGTTGTGATAAAAACCCTGGAAAGTGCTAATTTTAGGTCTTACAAATAGCAGTATCCGTTTCGTGTTTTCGGGTAGAAAGGTATTCTGTTATTAACGCGTATAGCCTAGATGCCTTGTGGTCTGAGTAACGATATCAGCATTGAACCCAGCTTTGCAATGAGAGTCTCACGGTAGTGTGAAAGTACATCAAATTATTAGGATAATGATATTAACATGAATCATCATTCTTTATGTTACAGTGACAGCCATATAGAAAGGGGCTGATGTCGATCTATGCAGCAATTTGAGTGGCAATTGCATTTTCAAATCGATTCTAAAGATATCGCTTATAAGTGCCTGGTGTCTTTTAAAGCAATTTCCTATTACTAATGTGTATAAAAGGTTATTAAGTAGGGTATAATAAAGTGTCAAACATGAAATACACCGTTTCCTTGTGATTGCCGATTTGGTGTTTTGCTGACATGTTGATACTCAACAAAGAAGTTTAGGCTTTGGCTTATTTATTTCCCTAATCTTGCTTTAGGTACATGTATTTTATCGAGCTGTCTTATTTGAACAAGAATATTTTTTTCGCTAGCCAAACGGGCAGTGTGTTGTATACAGCCTTGCCAATGATACTTACTCTCCAAGCAGAGCGGGTATAGGGGTTTTTTTTTTGACGTGCTTTAGGCTTTTTTTTTTATCAAAGCCTAAAGCAGTTTCTTTTTTTTCTTTTTTCACCCAACCCCAAAAAATTCCAGTACAAAAAAGAAGCCCTATAATAAAAAAAAAAACTAACAACACGCCAAAAATAACCCAACACCCAAACCTCTGCTTTGAGAGTAAATGATACCTTTTTGCCAATTTGATACTGCCTTGTACAGCTTACAAAGTAAACATCACCCGACTTTACTGGCATTTACTACCATTGGTAAATCCAACTTTTTGTGCAGCATGATCAGAATGCATCTCTGTTGACTAGAAAAAGAACGTTTCATGATGTTGTTCTTGATGATCAAAAACAAGACTCGCAACCATGATCAGAGTACCGCTGCACCGCTGACTGGATAACACGGGATATATAATACGTTTCGTTGATCATCTTAATTACAAGCCAACAACACCGTACTATCAAACTGCGCTGATTTACGCCTTCTGGGTCCTGAATTCCAATAACTTTGTGTGAGAAATGGAAATGGGTGATCAGTGTAGCATGAGGCAGTACTGGGCGTCCTTCTTAATTGCATTTACACGCAGTACAGCGGAAGGAAATGGCTTTACACACAACATTTAACACGGGGCTTGACTTATGGCAGGTCTTATCTATCTTTCAGCGTTTTCTCTTCCAACAAAGAGGCAATGTTTCATAGAAGTCGACAGTACGGATTTGGGGAAGTAAAACGCTTATATCATTGACTGAATTCTAGCCTCATATCTTAGGTGAACGCAGAGACTTCATAAAACTGCTTGGCAAGTCATTTCTTCCATGGAAATTGTATTGTATCTTGGATCCAAGATACAATACTGTTAGAATTTTATTTTATTTTTGCATTACATGTGATGCACATTTACATAAAAAATATCATGTCAACAAAGAGAAGAAGTTTTTCTCCGCCAAAAAGTTTGATTCATCAATGGTAGTAAATGCCAGTAAATTCGGAACTGAAAAAGCAAGACAAGAAATAAAACTCAATTCCGGTAATTTCATATATAACATTCATTATTATGGTGCTATATGAAACTACCAGATTTGACGTTTATCTACAACCATTATTAAGCCTGGTACTGTTTACAAAATAACTATATTACCCTTCTTTCCTTACATTTGCTTGCATTGGTAAATCCGAATTTTCGTACAGTTGCCTAGTATTTTTAGTAACTTAAGGTTTTTATGGCACTTTTAAGAATTACAGAACACTTTAGTACGATCTTTCGCGATGAGCTTCCCAGTGACCTGGGATCAGGGTAGGTTTCCTAAACTTGCACGTATGTGAAAAGATTTGTGAATACTTGTTATAACTGTATTTGCTTCTTTGAAGACACTGGACAGGATCAACAGCGACCCGACCATCCTCCCCAACATCACCCTGGGCTGTGAGATCCGGGACTCCTGCTGGCACGACACGGTCGCGCTGGAGCAGACCATAGAGTTCGTCAGGCACACCATATCTACACAGACACAGCACTCCAGTGCACAGGTAAGAAACAAGTACATCCATGTGTGAGTGATGTGGAGACTTAACATAACCCTTGCCCCAATACTTAGTGTGACCCTAGTCCGACCCCAAATCTTACCCCAACTCGAGCTCCAACTTTATTTAAAGACACCCAGTGCAGTTTTTAGGGTTGAAAATCCGATTTTTCAAAGCCTATATTCTAGTCATTTATCTACATACTGGGTTGAAACTATACTATCCCAACGTATGTTGACCCTCATGGAGCAAATATTCCCAAAATTCTGACGGAAAATGGTTTCTGGAAGGGCCCTGGGCTGACGTTTAGGGCATAGATATGCCTCCCCTCATATCAATCTTCCGCCCACACTTGTCAACCCTCCTTCCTGACACGAAACAATCAAACGCAGACAACCAAAACAATACTTCCGTGACTTGAATCAACGAGAATCTCCAAGTCTACGCAGTATTGTTTACTACCATCAGATTCGTAATTCCCCAGCACCCATTCGTAGTCCCCACCAGACTAACAAAGCCGGTTCAAAAACAGTAAGATTTAGCCAAATAGGAAGAATAATTGGCCATGGGAGTGTAGCCACCACAGAGTTCATTTGTTGGGCAAATTAACCTTCCCGCGGACCTACTCTCCTGGCCAATTATTTTTCGATTGTTTTCGAATTCTACGACCTTCACCATCCGCAGGAAGGCCAGGTGGAGGCTACACGTTTAGCTAGCCTGTTCAATCAACTTGTCATACGAAGGTCCACCGTAACAGATTGTATTGAAGTTGCTATCTGATGGATGAAAAATAGTTTTACATTGAAACGTCAGCTCTTCTAGGCTACTGGAAACAGTTTTCTGTTCATTTAGCGGGTTATTATATTCAGAACCGTACTTTGCTCAATCCATGCTGAAGCCCGGTTCTGGATAGTCGACGCGTATTCAGAACTGTGCCCTGAGCAGATCTACGTTCTTGAATACACGGAGGCTATCCCGAACCGCTCTTGATCCTAACCCTAACCCAACCCCTGCCCTATTGAGGCATAGAACTAAATAGGCACGGTTCTGGATACAGCAAAGTGCAAACCCAAGTCATCTCAGGTAAACCACATGTATGTCAATCAGAATTACCACCGCTGTGCACTGTTATCCCCAAGGACACTTGCCGCGGGCATAAATCGAATCCTCTTAGACAGAAATCCAATAAAAGTGACACGTTATAAAAGAGAGGAGGCAAAAATGTAATTATAACTGCTACCATTGTTTCCCCTGGCTTGATCTAATGGGACGTGAACACCCCGTATATTGTATCGTTTGTCACGTAGACAACCTGTATCGATTTATACGTACATTCTGGGTTTCAACTTGCCTCCAATCTTTTAACTTCCTCATTGTCACTTTTATTGTATGCATTTATTCATGGGAGAAATGGATGTCCATTTTCTATGTGTTCTTTTTGTGTGTAAAAATTTGCCTCCCAAACACAACCGAACTCCTGCCAACCGTTTTTCGATCAGGTCGCGAGTAGGTCGGGAGCCAGTTCGGCTGTGGTTGGCTGGTTTTCGGCAATGTTGGCTACTGTTCGCCTGCGTCAGCAGGATGTTTTAAAATTATTAAAACTCTCGGGTGTGGACTATTCCCGAACTTCAGCCAAACTTAAAAGATGGTTTGTGTTCTGAATGCGGGACAGAAAGAACAACGAACACTCGAACTGGAGTTACGTGATTGTATTTATATTTCTTTTCTTAAAAAAATTAAGTGTGAAAGATTATACGAAGAAAATTTTAATGCAGGTCACTCTCAAGTCCAATGTTAATGTTTATTGTTTTTCCTGTTACTCTACATGTTCTTCAATACGTTTCATCCTGACTTATTCCAAGATATTTCCTGAAGAATCTACAGCTTTTCAATGCTATTAATATAATGTAATGGATTGGAATTGCAAAGTTGGTACTACGATGTCTGATGTGCTTGTTACAGAAGTGTCCAGATGGTACTGTGCTGTCGTCTCCAACATATGAACAGCCAATCGTGGGGCTGATAGGACCTGGGTCCAGCTCTGTAACCATACAGGTATGAATGAAATACTCTTGATCTTACAGTAGTTTCCTCCGCGAAAATAGTGTGGTGGAATCTCTAACATGCTGGAGTTGTGGATCTCCCCAAACATGACATGGTAGGCGTTACCTTCTATCAAAGAGGACGTCCCTGATCTAAGCTAAGTACTCATTTTCACCTGAGTCAAGTGAGGAAATAGGTGTAAAGTGCCTTCCCATGACCAGAACAGTAGGGCCTGCCAGGGATTCTAACCGAGAACCTAAGTCAACAGCCCTAACCATAAGACCACGTTGCCACCTTTAGCAAACTCATCAGAGCATCATTGACATTGGTCAGTAGTCCTTTGAAGAACCACAAGCTGTTTATCTTACATTTACGTGACTGCATGTATGTTTCTTTCAGGTTCAGAACCTTCTGCAGCTCTTTAACATCCCGCAGATTGCCTACTCTGCCACCAGTAAGGACCTGAGTGATAAGGCCCGCTACAAGTACTTCCTACGGGTCATCCCACCGGACACCCTTCAGGCGCAGGCAATGGCTGACATCGTCATGCATTACAACTGGACCTATGTGTCAACACTGCACACTACAGGTAGGCGTTAGAAGGCGCGAGTGGGGTGACGATGCGTGACTCAAATAATTGGTCACTGAGTTGAATTGGACAAATGCTAACGCTAGGGGGTGGGTGGGGGTGCAATAGGCTCAGGTAAAAAAGTACCTTGGCTGACATCGTCATGCATTACAACTGGACCTATGTGTCAACTCTGCACACTACAGGTAGGCGTTAGGTGGCGTGTGATGATGATGTGTAACTCAAATTATTGGTCACTGAGTTGAATTGGACTAATGCCAACGCTAGGGGATGGAGTGGGGCAATAGGCTGAGGTACAAAAAAGTACCTTGGCTGACATCGTCATGCATTACAACTGGACCTATGTGTCAACTCTGCACACTACAGGTAGGCGTTAGAAGGCGCGAGTGGGGTGACGATGCGTGACTCAAATAATTGGTTACTGAGTTGAATTGGACTAATGCTAACGCTAGGGGGTGGGTGGGGGTGCAATAGGATCAGGTACAAAAAGGACCTTGGCTGACATCGTCATGCATTACAACTGGACCTATGTGTCAACTCAGCACACCACAGGTATACGTAGGCGTTAGGTGGCGTGAGTGGGGTGACGATGTGTGCCTCAAATAATTGGCCACCTCGGTGACTTGAATAGGACCGATGATAACGCTAGGGGATGGGGTGGAGTTGCAATAGGCTCAGGTACAAAAAGTACCTTGGCTGACATCGTCATGCATTACAACTGGACCTATGTACAACTCTGCACACTACAGGTAGGCGTTAGGTGGCGTGAGTGGGATGACGATGTGTGACTCAAATAATTGGTCACTGACTTAAATTCGCCAAATTCTAACGCTAGGGGGTGTGCAATAGGCTCAGGTACAAAAGAAAAAGTACCTTGGCTGACATCGTCATGCATTACAACTGGACCTATGTGTCAACTCTGCACACTCTGTGACTCAAATAATAGGATACCTTGGTGACTTGAATTGGACTAATGCGAACGCTAGGGGGTTGATGGGGGTGCCATAGACTCATGTACAAAAAGTACCTGGTTGTGTTCTAAATTATGCGTTTCTTTCTTGAACTGGTCCAGAGACTCGGTGTTTCTCCTATTTCTATAGCAAACATATTTATTGTGTAAAACAGGGCCCCATTGAGAAGAAGTGCAGTCACCTAATGGGCCACCATGTATAAAAATGCCGGAAAATAAAAATAAAATAACATGACTATTGTCAGGCATCTGATCAAATTTATCTCATATGTATTAGTTGAAATATAATAGGAGCAGGTGAAAACAGAAGTGCTGGACCGGCATGACACATGGAATTGGTTTGGGACGTGCTGCAAATGCAACGTGCTTCTCGACACCTTAATTACCCAAGTACCGAACGTGATAGTCAGCGCAAAGCTTCTGGAAATCCGACCATGAACTTTATTCTTCAACTCTATTCTTTATTAGAGAGTTTTTCTACGTCTGCCCGCACTTGGTAATTCCGTACAGGTTCTGTACCTGTTTATCGTGAGCACAACGTGGGTACCATAAAAAAGACATGTAAAAGGGTCTGTGCCGTTTTATCTTCCAGGTCCAATATCGGCTGAATACTCGTTGGTGAAAATTAAAGAGAAAACATTAGAGATCTCTGCGTGCGACTGGCGTTCGTAATTAAAGCTGGGCCTGATATATTAGATACTAGCCAAGCATCCTCAATTATACGAAGCGCTAGAAAATAACCTGCTTGAAATACTTGTAGACTTATCTCTCCAGTTTAAACCCCGTAAAATCCCAGTTGGACGAGAATTTCATAAAATGGGATCCATCGCCTGGATGTAATGTCACTTACGGGCTATAAAAAAGCGGCAGACTTCCAGCAATTGCTTTTTTCTTCACGATGAAAACCTAATCGCTTTATATATCTTTGTGCTAAATATGCACTTATATTGACGGCGGTGCATAGAATGGGAATATGTTACTGCCCGTTTGTTGGAAGGGATGCTTCGTGTAAATCAATTGTTAAATGGTGGAGATTAATCAAGAAATGCTAGGACCAAGATAGTTGGTTGGGTGGTGTGAATGTTATGACGATTTGTGACTCAAATAATTGGTCACCTTGGTGACTTGAATTGGACTAATGCTAACGCTGGTGGAGGGGGTGTTGCAATAGGTTCAGCTACAAACAGGGCTGCCAGACCAGGTAGGACGCAATGGACAGGCATAACGATTGACCTGAGCCCTGATGCAAATAAAAAATACTTTTCACCCAAGACCAAGCCACACCATCATCGAACGTGATACTCGATGAACGATGGCCAAAGAGCGTTGTCAGAAGAACATCTCTGTGTATTGTGTTGAATTTATAGTGTCTGGAACGTGGTGGCAGCTTCTTTTCGGCCCAAGGACCTAATCGGAGAAACATATATCCTTACGTCCCCTGGCAATGGTAAATTCAATCTTTGGAGGTCTTCCTTACACTGTTAATCCTCCAGAGTTTGACACGGCTCTTTTGAAAGGCATATCTCTGTAATGTTGAAAAGGTCTCCTTTAAAGAACTAATGCTGACCTATGAGTGACTCTTGGTGATGGTACCCGTTAGCTGCCACCAAATGGACTGACAGAATGACATTCATTTCTGCCTAATGGTCTTGCAGATACTATATTGTGACCTAGATAACACCGTGTTAGCCGTTTTTGCTATAACCATCTTTCTTCAGCTACTGGAAAGGGTTATCATATGACCAAGATGTTAAAGGTCTGAATGGGGGTGCTGTGTGTAGGGGGGGGGGGGGTAGTCGGTGGTAGCCTTTTCAGTAGCTGAAGAAACAAGGTGAATACTGTAATACTGTTTGGAAACTTCTTTGCTTGAATACTAAGTCTGTTGTAACATTTTAAAATCTTTCTTTTTACTATGGATTCCTTTGGGCAGTTTAACCTTCATCATCACCTTCAAGGTTCACAAAACCAGATACAGCTGCAGTCATAACAGAATAAACACAAGATCACAGCAATGCACGTCAGTTTATCTTTCCTTTGAAACTGTAGCTACATAGAAAATCTGCCCCCCCTCCCACCGTACATACAGTATCGGTCGAAAGAACACAGTAATTCCCCATACGTTTGAGGTAATGGGCTATCAACTGATGCTGCATGCACCAAGTTGAAACAAATTGTTCACTAATCTTTACGAATACTGAAGATGCTTTTAAAGTTCTCTCGGTAGCTGACAATTGACAAAAGCCTTACACTTCTCCACCTAACACCGCTCAGCCATAAAATGACCCCGATGACTGGCCTTTCTTCAAAAGGATAGCGTAGATATGTTTTCATTCTGGCGTAAAAGGTAATCTTTACTGTCTATCTATGTTGGTCAAAGTGCATGATCACAAGGCAAAAGGTATTAGGCTACGGGACAACTGGTTCTTTGACATAGGGTTTGAAGTGGTATTGCATTTTTTACCTCCATGAAAAATGGAATTATTTTGGTCTCTCTCTCTCTCTCTCAAGTGATTTGGACTTGGTCCCACCAGCAGCTTCTTCAGAAACTGCAGGGGAGTTTCCAAGCGAAATCTTTGAAATCGGATAGGTCCAGAAAGTATTTTCATCATTTTTGGTATTCAGGTTTATTTATGGATGTAGCGAGACGTTTTCATTCAATTTTTTATTCCTTTTGCCATGAAGAGAGAATTGGCTGGCGTACTTGTATCTTTGACTTCGCACACAATGGAAGTCCTTTCAAAGTATTCCAGTCCCTCATAATTCAAAGTAAACATGAGATACCGAAATCCCCATCCATCATTTTCTGGTACACACTACAGTACTACTATATAGTATAATTCATTTCCTCCATCTTAGTAATCTTATATTTCAGTCATCCGTGAGATCAAAGCTCTATTACATTTGGAACAGGGAGGGAGAAACTGTCTTCGATGCGTCACAAGTCTTTACTTCTTCATTCAGCTGTCACGTCATAGCTCATCAAAGAGAGATTGGGCGGTTGCAGTAAGCTGAATGATATCTCTCTGGTCGTTTCTTAGGGCGATAGCCTTGACTTTAACGGGTAGTAAAGAGTATAATAGCGAGGGCTTTACGTCTGTCATCGCTATAAAATAACATGGTGAGAGGTCAAAATGACAAGGAGAAGGGTATAAAAATGGCTACATTGTAAAGCCTATGTATCGACGTACAGAGAGTACCATCTTTGTGCCATCTCGGAGACCATTTCCCGCCATTGATGTGATACTACCCACAGGAATAGTAACGTAAACACATAAAGGCAGCTTTTAATCATACCAGAGGCTATTGCAGCGTACTTGGACTAACCACATGGCTGGCTTTTTGATAACAAAACTGTTTCGTTACTGCCTGCAGCATCTGTACAGTGCTGCCACAAAGTCCAACTTTGCATTGCCACGAGTGACTATGGCAATCATTACACTGAATGATGTAGTTTAGCATAAAACTTTATTCTTTTTTTTTATTTCATGCATGACTTGCGCATATAAAGGTAAACATACAGATAGAAATACACATAATAACAATAGTTAAAAATAAGTCTATGAGTACAGACGGGCCCAGATATTGTGGAAGAATCTGTTGCGGAATATATATGATAAAAACATATGTTTCAAGTTTTAAGTTCTCCTACCAGAATTCCACATATAATGTAGCATACATTACATATCATTATTATAACCGTGAAACTAATTTTCTGTTGATGGTACTTGGCCTATGAAAACGTGAATGGTTTGCCTCTTCAGGGAACTATGGTCAGAGCGGAGCAGACGTGTTCAAGGCATTGGTGAAGAAAGAAGGGGTTTGCATTGCCACATCTGACCAGGTAAGCAGAGTACATTTAGTGGTTGATTTTTCGTTGACATAACATCATGTGTTTGTTATGTCACGTATGTGTTGATATTTCATGTCATATATTGCTTCCAGGGTCCCAATGTAAAGCAGAATCTTGCACCGTGATATCAATGGGCCAACCTGACAAAATAAAACATAAACAAATAAACAATATTAATTCCATGCACCTCTTTTATTTATCGAGCACCCATACAACCAGGCATTGGATAGTATCCCACTTCTGACACCATTATTGCGTTTCTTGCAAATCTTGCAATGAGTTCGAATTACCATTACGACGTTCATTTCATTGTACAAAATTGGGTGAGTAGTGTATGCAAAAACATGGCTGCTCTCTGATCTAGTGGTGAGATGTCCTTCTGTTATCCTGGTATATGTCAGTCTTGTAATGTATCCAACCCTTACCAGGTGGAGTACGATGCCGATGACGACCGCTACGATAACGTCGTGCGAAACCTGCAGTCCACTCCCTCCGCACACGTGGTGGTGTGCTTCTGTCAGGGGAACACCGTGAGAGGCCTGCTGGCAGCCATGGAGAGACTCAACACCACGGGACAGTTCCTACTGCTCGGCAGGTACGGAGTCTTGTTGATCATTTGATGTCAATGAAATTACTTCATCAAGTACCTTTTTTCATTCACGACCACTTTTTGTCGTAAACTATGACTGATTCACTGTGCACTGAAGCCGAGTGTTACAAGTTCACTGTGCACTGAAGCTAGGTGTTACTGGTTCACTGTGCACTGAAGCTAGATGTTACTGGTTTACTCTGCACTTAATCTAGGTGTTACTGGTTCACTGTGCACTAGACCTAGGTGTTACTGGTTCACTGTGCACTAGACCTAGGTGTTACTGGTTCAATGTGCACTGAAGCTAGGTGTTCCTACTACGAATGCGTAGAAAAACATAAATTAATTGTGACTTTTATTGATATTGTTATAAAACTAGAGAAATATGCGGTTAAAAAGTATTGTTATTTTCAAAATATATTGTTTTTATCATATCAGGATCCAACACTTGGTCGTTTTATATTTGGGGTTAACATTACATTGTACTGTTTGAAAGACTGCGGGCACAAAGCCAAGTAATTAAAGTCTTCCTACACTGTAATCTAGCTCGAATAGCTATTTTATAACCCCATGTCTGACAATAGTTATCATTTTCCATTAAGCCTTTAGATAAAGTTTGCATGGGCCAAGTCTCATTAATCGAAAACAAAATCTCTGCCCACCAAGTAATCCTCTAGTATACCATGTTTTAATCCATCCCCGGGGGTTAATTAACCCCTTGATCCATTTTATCAGCTTAGGAAATCCGGTTATTGCGTACTTCTTAGCCCCTCTGCGGCCACAAATTTATCAACGCAACAGTTGGACGGCCGCCCTGTACGTTTCCTGTCAGAAGCCGCTGCAAACCAGACGCTTTAACGTAGATAGATCGGCCATCTGTCGTAAAGAGCCGAGGGACGCCAATCAATATACCTTCAGGGTCAAGTACAGGCCCTTACCCCCTGCCAGAGATGGGAGAGGAAAAAGCTTCAAATGTTTCCCTTTAATATTTTCCTAATAAGATAAGATTGAACTACGAAATACACTTGAAGCATAGCTAGGTACAAACTGTGAATCAGACTGCCTGATTTGCATGTAAGCATGTTTTGTAGGCGCTACATGTAGTATAACGGATATATTTTAATAGAAAGGCCAGAAACATGTCATGATAAACAGTTTCCGAGGGAGGCCCATCAATATACCCCTCAGGGTCAAGTACAAGTCCTTGCCCCCTGCCAGTCATGAGAGAGGAAATGGCTTAGAATGTTTCCCTTTAATATTTTCCTAAATCGTTCATAGATCGAACTCCAGAAACCCCTTGAAGCATAGCTAGGTACCAACTGTGAATCGGAACTGTCTGATTTGCATGTAAGCATGGTTTGTAGGCGTTACATGTAGTATAACGGATATATTTTAGTAGAAAGGCCTGAAACATGTCATGATAAACAGCTTCCGAGGGAGGTCAATCAATATACCTTCAGGGTCAAGTACAAGTCCTTGCCCCCTGCCAGACAAGAGACAGGAAAAAGTTTCAAATTTTCCCTTTAATATTTTCTTAACTCGTTCAAACATCGAACTCCTGAAACCCCTTGAAGCATAGCTAGGTACCAACTGTGAATCAGAACTGCCTAATTTGCATGTAAGCATGTTTTGTAGGCGTTACATGTACTATAACGGATATATTTTAGTAGAAAGGCCTGAAACATGTCGTGATAAACAGCTTCCAGACAACAATCAGGTTTGATGAAGCTCCACAGACGCCACATTAGTCTGTTAATCAGATTATCTACCCATCCCCAGAGATTACATGTGCACGCAGCATGGCATACATCAAGTATGTAACCGTGAACTTGCACACGTTCTTATGATGAAAACGACATTCACGACCACAAACTAATATAATAGGATCACCATCAATTATAGCGTCTCCAAATGCTGCAGGTCAATGGTACAGTTGAAGACGACATGAAAACGGTTCCTGGAAATAGTCATACGTGATAGGCATTATTCTGCAAACAATTTCAGATATATACAATGTTAACAGTGACCCTACATAACTTAAAGGATGGGTGATATCACAATTATAATACATAATACAGGTTCCCATGTATTATATATTATAATTGTGTTATTAAACTTATTCTGTTAACATATTATGGCCCATATTATATATATGATAGTAACATATAATATTCTAATTCATATTCATCTCGCAAAACGTTGGTCATTTCATACTCCATAGCACACAGGAAAGAGGTCAAGGCCAACAGTAACTATGTTAAAAGTAGCATTAGTAGCATTATTTTTATTGTTGATTATTTTATCATGTTCTCGCAGTTAGCCCTTGGGCATGGATTAGCTATAAACTTTCTGTAGAACGAAAAAAAAACGTGGTGTAGCTCATTAGTCACACACGCACGACTTAAATCTTACAGTAAACAACAGTTGTTTACATGACAGATTATACCACCATATTCAGCACGGTGGTGTTGCACTACCTGTAAATACAAATACATACGAAAACCGTACTGGACCCCTATAACTAAACATAAACGGAAAATCAAAGAAAACCGTCAAACCCGCCGTGAGTTACAGCTGCGAACACACAAATACGACCGAAAACAATGGAAGGACTCTTTCCTGGAAGTAGAAATGCTATCATTTCTCTATACGCGGCGGATTTGAGTCTTGATGAATGTGAAACCATCTCAGCTCTATAATCACTGTCAACTTCACCCATCCGTGCACTTAACCATCCCTCGGGATTACATTACGATGATTAAAATTCAATTTGCCATACTGACTTGTCTACGCACTACTCCCTAACTTCCAAGTCGTTTCCGGGAATTCCTTTGAAAGGTTTGAAAGTAGAGTGATCCCCGTGATCATCCTGTCCACTCAAGTGAGCTTACCTAATGGAATATGGACAGTTTATATAACCTTTAAGGTACCATTTGTTAGATGAGCCGGATTGATTAAGTCTATTCCGTGTATCTCCTATATTACTGCGGAGCATTAACGTCTACCCTTGCCCTTTACCTCTACCGTAATCACCCATGAAGGATACAGTATCGGTTCTGGACAAAAGTCTGCCAACTTTTTTCAGTTGTCAACATTTTGCAAACGAGTAGCAAACCAGGCCAGTGGAGAACTTTTTTAGTAAAAAACCTACCTGTAAACCGTTGGAGTTTGAACGTGCTGCGTGCTACCTCAAATTCTCTTATTGGCTAATACATATGTATTGTAACGAATAACGAATATTAAAAGTCCCTGTGTTGACAAAGGCAGCTACATCTAAACTTGTGATATCCCTTATTATTTGAATGATTATGATATAGATATGTTAGGTTTTATTCGACATGAGGTCTTATGCAACACACTTATTTTATTGTTGTTACTCTCTCTTTATGTAGTTTGCCATACATTGTACCATGTGCAATTGTCGTGCAATAAAAGTTTTTCTGTAACACGATCATATTACTGCATTGTTTCAATAGTAATATACTCAAATACGGTCCTTGCTAACAAGAATAGCAATATCCTGTTAGTTCTTAAGTACTGTGTGATGATCCAGACCAAGTAATACGTTTGACCTATTCTACCGTTTTAATGTTCACTTGTAGTGACGGGTGGGCTGACAGGAAAGAACTGACAGCTTTCAATCCAAGAGAGGCTGCGGGAAGTATCACCATTAAACCATGGGTAGGTTCCTTAAGCCTCTACCACACTGTTTCAAATACGTGTATGGCCTCCCAAACACTACCGGCTGTTGTTGAAACTTTGAAACTTTATTGTTATTGACTGGTGTTTGGCCAGGTCGGCTACTGTTAGGCTGCACCAGCCAAATATTCCAAAAAGTTTAAAGCATTCGTTTATGGACTGGAAATTCAGCCATGGTTAGCTGGTCGTTGATTGGTGTTTAGGAGTGGTTGGGAGTAGAATTTGACTCAAATTTAACTCTAACTTTCTTCAATTCATATAGAAAGGCATGCGTGGCCGACGTGGCCAGACTGCTCCCTAATATATCTTGATTATTTTGTGGTCGGGAAAAGGTTCTGAATGTGTTACAGAGGCTTAGCGCTGAACTACAGACGCATACATAGAAGCATATTCCTTACATGCGAACTACTAGGCAGAAGGGAATACATAAATAAAGTCACCTTAATCATATATCATTCACGAGCTATGCAGCAGACTGTGACATATTACTACTAACCTTGGATGAACTCTCGTTTGTATCATGTCTCCTTTAATCAACATTAGGAACTCTGATTAAATCCCCCACAGTCACCCCAGGTGGAGTCGTTTGACGGGTATTACCAGAACTTGAACCCCTGGAACAACGCCAGGAATCCCTGGTTCCAGGAATTCTGGCAGTGGAGGTTCCGCTGCCGCATAGTCGGACATGCCATGGAGAACACATTCGACAAGATCTGCACAGGTTAGTGATTGTATCTGCCGGGCGGGATATTATATTATCTGGATTAAGTATTAATCTAGATTATGTACTACACTAGCGATAGACCAGAACCCGAATTCCTGGAACAAAACCAAGAATCGCTGGTTCCAGGAATTCAGGAAGTGTAAGTTTGACTGCCACAAAGTTTGACATGCTATGGAGAACACATTTGACAAGATCTGCACAGGTTAACAAAACGCGCAGTTGGAATAATACCTGGATTAAGTATCAATCTAGATTAAGTACTACGCCAGACTGTAGCATATGATAACGGAAAGAGTATGCATTGATTTAAACTGCAATGTATCACAAAATCTACACCGCATTCCAAGTGAAGTCTGCATATGATGAAAGAAGTAAATTATTTTGTTGCTCATAGTTATGGGAACTGGTAAAGATTATTAAGTGTCATCATGTATGATTTAAAGGGACTTAAATAAGGATTAATTACCCGTCACGAGGTATATAGGTTGTCATAACTCCCGGACATTTTCTACAAAACCGATTAAACCGCAGAGTGAGGGAAGCAAGTCCATCTCCTGCATAATGGTATGATCAAGTGGTCAATTATTTTAATAAAGGACCACTGATCGGTAATTATTCACCAGTTGTCACACTTTATTGCACTTGTTATGTACAGTGTCAAGACATATATGAGAACTTTAGACACAACAAAAGTACAGCGACTTTCGTAAAGTCTAAGACATGTAGACATACATACAAATAAACATGGGTATGAAATGACTTCTGATTGGTCGACGTCATCTGGCTCTATGATTATGGTATCTCTCTGGCTTACTTTTAGGAAACGAGAGCCTTCAGGACTACGTTCAGGACACCAAGCTGGGTTTTGTCATCAACGCTATCGAGGCCATGGCCCACGGCCTGCACGACATGCAGACGGCCCTGTGCGGGGAAACCGGCGGTCTCTGCCCGCAGATGCGCAACGTGAACGGCACGCTGCTGCTGGAGCACATCCTCAGCACGACCTTCCTGGGAGTCAACAACGAGACGGTCAGGTTCGACAAAAACGGAGATCCTCCTGGAAGGTAAAAGTTCCCGTTCCACTCTGTGCAGAGCATAGGTGTGGTGCCGGCCCATCTCCATTTCTGTAGCCCTTGGGCCACACAATTGTGCAAGCACTTCATCAGGGGCTAGCTCGCTGATAGTGTTGTGTGTTTGACCTTCCCATACTCTTTCTCATAGATGCCGAGTGCTGCGCAGAAAAATCAGCATGTACCATTTTTAAATATTCCGTCATTGATATGACACAACCTCCCGTTTACAAAGCGAGCACTCTACCCAGTTTAGCTAATGCACCTGACGAATTGAAAACGAATCTCAAGATTGAAAAACACAAGTCCTTATGATTATCAAAGAATGATCGCTTCTATGATGTCACGCATACGGATAGAACGCGTGGCTCATAAGGATTCTAAGTTAAAGTTCATAGCGTCCCCCGTCTCTATTTCAACATGGTTGTAAGGCCATAAGGTCATGTGTATTATAATCAGTTGTGTCCGCACGTACGTTCGCAGCTGTAACTCATGATCCCTTTCATACTTTGAACAACTGTGTTGTCTTGGGTTTTGTCCTCGCATCTATAAATCAAAATCCTTTTCATGGCTTTGTATGAAATCTAGCATGTCGGTAGCTAAAGATAGTACTAAGCACCTTAGCCACGCCGCAGATCACATGATCACTTCACGGAGAAATGTGTCCTATGTACTCTTGTTTTCATTTAGGTACGTCATCATGAACTTCCGACCCCTTGACAACGGTGACTTTGACTATGTGAAGATAGGCAGCTGGAAGTACGGACAACTGTCTATAGACGATGACATCTTCAGGTCCAATTGGAACATGTCCGGTATAATCCGGTCCGTCTGTAGTGAGGAGTGCGCACCATTGGAAGTAAAGGTGAGTGGGCATTGGTGTACTTCTATGCGCACAATAAGCCCCTGTCACACATGTAAAGCTGAATATGGCCTCCCGAACACCAACCGAACCCCCCCCCCAACCATAGTTGGGAGTGAGTCGGGGGAAAAGTCGATTGGTGATCGGCCAGGTCGGCTTCTGTTCGACTGCGCATGCTTAAAAATGTTTAAAACTTGGCGTGGACAGAAGGTTCAGCAATGATTATTTGGTCATTAGCTGGTACTCGCGAGTAGGTCGAGACTTAATTAGCAGTCAAATTTGACCTAAATATTAAAAAAAAACTTAAAAGTCAAACTCGACTCGATTCATATAGAAAGGAACTTCAGCAAAACTTGGTCGGCTAGAGTTTAGGGGGAGGTTCTGAATGTGTGACAGGGTCTCTAGAAACGTCACGCAACCAGTATTTTCATTTCCACCCCCGGCATGCTTTAAAAAAAATCATTTCTCATTTTAGTTTGCTGATCGGCAGCAGTTGGGATAAGTATTAACTCTGCAAGGTTACAGTCGGGATAGTCATTTGACGGTGACCCTCGTATCTAGGCAATTATAACATTTGAGTAGCTTTAGAATTCACCCATGCAAGCGCCAATTTCTGTGTATTCTAGTTGTGGATAGATTAGTTGGACTGATTGGTTTAATTCAGCCTTATTTCAATGGATAATGAACTGGGCCATTCAGCAGGGACATCGCCACGAAAAACTCTCCTGGAAAGTCACATTTCAATAACACAAATTTACGCCTCATTAAAGTTTACAATTTGATTCAATCTAACCGGACACGACGTCCTGATATGCCCTTGGCGAGTCCCTATTATAAGGCCCAGCTATTGTACATGTGCCATTCCTAGCTGCACGTACAATAATAGTCTTCCTTTTTACAATTTAGGCCACACTGTCTTAATTTTATTGATGACATCCTCTGAAGACCCCATAACTATTGCGCGCGGGCGAGTAAAAAAAATTCCTGACAAAAAATGCTGCTAAATTACAGGAATACAAAGCTGGTGTTGTGAATTTGCGGTAGTACATACTATATTAGCGACTTTTACGACAGGCCGGCACATGCTGACCATTTGCGGCATTTATGTATCGGCACAAAACTGAGTTCTGGAGCTTCGGCAGCCTGGGTGCCACCCTCCGTAGTTACCGCCGGCTCCCCATTGTCACTAGTTACCATGGACTACAGAGGTTGGCACCCGGTACCCAGGCCACAGCCTCGATCAGAGGAGATTATTAGTTTTTGGGGAACAGGCGGAAATCAATGCGCGCGTGGACGTCATCCATAGAATTGAATCAGTGTGGCCTAAAATCCAATAAACCCCCTAGCCGTGACTCTCTTGACCCCCATAGATGGGTATTGCTTGCCTTTTGCGTCAAGCGGAGATTTGGTATGAAGCAGCTATAGGTCAGCTGTTGGTGCACTGGGGGGAAATCAATATATTGACCAAAGTTGAGTGTCAAGTTTAAATGTATGACCTTGAACTTCACCCTTAATGACCGTGAACTTCGTGTAGTAAATATTTTAGAAGCCAGAACGCTAGAAGAAGTCAAATTGCACTTCCCATGCTGTTCATTTCGTTACAATTGAGCAAATGCTGAGACTAAAAATCTTTGCAAATGCATAATGTCTACCTACATATGGCTTAGCATAACAATTCAATGCTATGTTCGTTCTTACTCAAATACATACATACACAAGTATATCGTGACCAGCCCCTCCCGCCTTGTCCTGCTACACAATGTAATCTAACACCACAGGGTGTCTGCTACAGCATCAGTTACCATGACAACAGACGTCTGGTCCAGATCATTGACCTTACGTGGATATGGATTCTAGAGGAAGAGGAATCAGAGCAAAAACAATATTTTCCTTAAGAAAAGTTAAACATAACCAGAAAGGTAACATTTGGTCAGGCAGGAGTCTAAATCCCTCTAGCTATAAAATTGCAACATGATGTAACCCAAAACCAGTTACCATCGTGACAGACTTCTGGTTCAGGTCATTGACCTTATCTGTTTAGAGAAGAAGAAGAGGAGGAAGAATTATAGGAAACAGCAAAAGAAATGTTTTCCTTCGGTAAACATAACTATGTCTTTGTGATTTTGTTACAGAAGGTGAAGGGTCACGACACCTGTTGTTGGGTCTGCGCTTCATGTAAAGATGATGAGTTCAGAGAAGACGAACACACCTGTACACCCTGCAAGGACGGCTGGTGGCCGACGAAAGACAAGACAGGTATGTATGGCTAACCGGCTAATCTCTGAGTAGACTCCTTCGGTGGCAAGGCAGTATCCAATTGGCCACCAGTTACCATTGGGCACCCCGTAGACCCTGATTAATGTATGATCGACATTCATAGCTTGTCTGAGACGGAAAATTTTGAAACTACACCTGTGTATTTAAGAGACATAAATGAGAAATAGATATACAATCATGAAAGAAGTGCATAAGCAAACATTGCTTTTCTTTTTTTTTGTTAATGTTCTATCCGAGTGTTTTGTTTATGTTATAGCTATAAGTGCCCTTTCTAGTGTATCGTTCTCGTGTTATCTAGATGATATTCTAATTGGCACTGTTAACTTTTTAAGACGCAATAGCGATGCTACTCAGACGTCACATGCACAGCTGCATACCTTAGGTCTTATTCTATTTACAGTGATTTCAATTTCGAGCCAACTGCCTTGTAAATTCAACTTCCTAGAGATTTGCTATGATGGCTATGACATTGGAGGAATCGTAGGGTGGTATCATGCTGTAGAGATAAACTGTTAAAGTAACAGCAGTGATAGTCGATGGATGACGTCTAGAGCATATATAACAACAGTGATAACAGGACGGTCGATGGGCGACACGTAGAGCACACAGCAACAGTGATAACAGGAGGACTGGTGCATGTCGTGTAGAGCATATATAACAACAGTAATAAAAGGACGGTCGATAGATGACGTGTAGAGCATATACATGTACAGAAATTAGTAACAGGACAGCCGATGGATATTGTGCACATAGAGGATTCAGATTGTCAGTGAGCATCCAAAAATCACAGAATGAGAGGAATACATGGGAATCTCGGGGGAGCTAGCAGAACCATTTGTCTTCTTGGTCACGTTTTGGTCAAATTGGACAAAAACGATCCGAGGTAATGCCGAGTAAGAGGAAAACGGCAATCCCTAGTTCTTCTGTGAAGGTAATTACACGGCTGAAGTTTTAGTAGGGCATCGAACCCTTTCCTTGTGTAGAAATATGCAGCAGCAGTAGCGACACTGCCTTTGTTGTGAGAGTGCCAGTAAACGCTAATAAAAGTTTTAGTCAGGTCCCTTGATGTTTAAGAGAAATCCTCAGCCGCATGAAACAGCCTATAAAAACGAAAGTAGGCCCAATCTTTGTGCCTAATGAAAGTATCAGCAGGATACCTTGACATCCGAATTGGTTTTATCGATCGCCATTTTAAGGAACATTTACAAGGTCAAACCTTTGAGACCCGCTATCATTTGTATCCATTGCCGTATGTATATAGGTCGCAGCCCGAAGCTTGAAAGTCCAATGAAGAAGAGCTGATATTCACTGCACGAAATGCTATCTTTTGGAATACCTTAAAGAGAACGTAAAGATACACGCAAGGGAAGGAAACTACTTTAAGAAACATTTACTCATTCCTTAGGGGGTGCTTAGAATTGACTTTGTTTATCGATTGAATGAGAGATATTGGGGAACGGAATCTTGATCTCCAAGTTAAATATGGCTTTTAAGTCTGTCTGTAATCATTTAATAATAAACGTTCGCATGGTGGTAAAACTGTCAACCAGTTCATAGGATGTTACATGTTGACAGAGACACCACAAATAAACCAAAACAATAGTTACATCATACTTGCTACATACATGTATGAGTTCAACGCTCGAGAACAATTACGGTAAAATTATCGATGCTCACTGGTTTAAGTCTTGCAAATAACTATTTTCATTTCCAGATTGCTTCAAGATCCCTGTAGAGTATACGAAGTGGACTGATGTACAGACGATAGTGGCCGTGGTTTTCTCCTGCGTCGGTATCATGGCGACCACCTTCGTGACGACCGTTTTCGTCAGACATCGCGACACGCCAGTGGTCAAGTCTTCAAGCCGAGAGCTGTGCTACATCATCCTCATCGGCCTCTACAGCAGCTATCTCAGCGCGTTTCCCCTTCTTTCTAAGCCAGACCAAGTCACATGTTACCTCCAGAGAATATGCGTCGGTCTATCGTTCTCTATGTGCTACTCGGCACTAGTCACCAAGACCAACCGAATCGCCAGAATACTGGCAGGCAGCAAGAAGAAGATCATCACCAGAAAACCTCGCTTCATGAGCGCCACTGCACAGGTCATGATCTCGTTTGCTCTCATTTTCCTGGAGGGTGTCATCATTGCTGTTACCGTGGTCCTCTACCCTCCCTCCGCGGAGGCGTACTCGCCGAAACCCGGGCAGCTTCGGCTCATCTGCAGCGTCAACACTTTCACCATGATCGTCCCGCTCAGCTTGGACATGGTCCTGGTCATCATGTGTACTTACTACGCCTTCAAGACCAGGAACATTCCCGAGAACTTCAACGAAGCCAAGTTTATCGGGTTCACCATGTATACCACCTGTATCATCTGGCTGGCCTTCGTGCCTTTGTATGTCAGCAGTGATTTTAAGACCATCACAACTTGCATTGCCACCAGCCTCAGCGCCACCGCAACACTGGGCTGCATGTTCTTACCTAAGGTAACAACTACAACTATGTATCTGCATCTGTATATATAGCTGGTGTAACCAAACGAAATTGTTAACCTAATCTTTGCACATCCATCTGTATAGTATTGCGTTACGTTGTTCGAGCTATCTAGTGATGATACCCACTCTATACTTGGCGACAGTGAGTTCTTTACTTGGTGGCATCTATATCTTTGGCGTAATAGAAAAAAACAAGTTTTTGGACGTCCTTTCTTGAAAACTCCAGTACTTGAAATCATGATTATTTCTTGTTCTTTCCTAAGCTGGTATGAGATGCTTAGTAGCCAGTAAACTCACCAGATTACTAGTCATTTTGTACATCGTGCATAGTCTGGACATTTTTCTTTCAGCGACACCCACTGTAGGTTTGTTTTCATTTCCGTGACACCATCACCGCCTTTGTAGCTGTTCATACAGACTCTTGCAGCTTGTATATATAAGCTATATTTAAACATACCTAAATCATTGGTTGATAACTGTTCCCTGAAGGCATGACTTTTTCTTATTTCTTTCTGGTATTACGTACTTAGTAGTTGGTACGTCCACCAGTTTGTTAGTCATTTTGTACATCATGCATAGTCTGGACATATATGACGTATATTGTTAATTTCTTAGCTCTACTCTCCTAAAATGGTTTTGAAAACGTTGATGGTGTGCCTTCATCCCTCCTTAGGTGTACATCATCCTGATGAAGCCAGAACGTAACCAGCGGAGTAACTTCACCACGTCAAACGAGGTGCGATGCCATGTGCTGGACAGCCAACCATCGTCACTTCAAGGGGATAAAAACAAGTAAGAACAGAGAAAAACCCCGGTCTTTTGTACTGAATTAGCCTTGTCCTTCGTAGTGCAGGCTTCATTTTTCTATCATGAAAGTAAATCTGTGTTGGTAGTTACATGTTTAGAGTTAAAACTTTAGATCCAACCAACACAAAAACGCCTCACTGGGTCAGTCTATCGAGGAAGACCATAGTGACTGATCGAAAGGTCTAGGTGAGAGAATTTTTTGTGTTGGATCTAAAGTTTTAACTCGAAAAAGGCTTCATTTTTCTTTAGATAGAATTATGCATTACGTAAAATTATCATTAATCTCGTTATACGTAATGCAATATCAAACGTTCGCACAATTTTGTTAATTTTTTTGTGATGTGGACGCTAGAAATACAATACCAATCCGTTTATTGACACAAGAAAAGTACAACGATTACAAGTATACATACAAAGAAGTGTAGCATGAATCTTCAAGTTGATGAATTACCCTACGCACTAGTATATGAATAACTCATACGTTTACCAAAACAGATACGTCAATATTGAAATGAAACCGTATTTTACAGTGTAACATCAAAGGCCCTGTCTGGAGAGAAGGGGGAGGGGGCGCGGAAGTTTGCAGCCGTGGGGCGTGCCGTCATGCTCGGGCAGTCCAACCGGTCCCGGAAACGACAGGAGACAATACGAAGGGTCTGTTACAAGTTGACAACTATTGAACATTGCAGAAAGTTTGTATAATATCTATGTGCGTGGAAAAGCCACCTTAACGTTGTCGAACAGCAATTGAAAGTTCTTTATTTACAACCACAAGAGCTGACGTTTCTGGGCACTGTGCACTGAAGCTAGGTGTTACTGCTCAGCATGCAAAATTCCCAAGTGTAAAGTAATTGTGACGTTCATAGATGTTGTTACAATAATGAGTCTTGGTTAAATTAGTTTGTAAACTTTGCCATTCAATCATTCACCAAACTGGTGAGCTTATTGTTGTTTTATGGTTCTCACAAACATGCTGTGGATATACAGAGACGTGTAATTAGTCCATTTCACCATCTGCCTTCCTTAGGTCCAGGTTCTACGCGAGCTGAGAAAAGCGGAGGAGGAGAACAAGATACGCTTTGGCTCCAGACTGGACCCCATGAATGCAGATCATCCGTTCTTCACCCAGCGGGCGTCCATCTGTGAAGCATCGTTCGCCGTGCCTCCAGGGTTTCCCTCACAAGACTTCGACAAGAAGCGCGCATCCATTTGCGGGGAGAGCATAGCCGTCGGACACTGGACGAAGGCGTTGGACAAACTGGAGAAAAAGACGACCGAAACCAACGGTGGGATCCCGACTATTTGTATCACTCCTGACGATGACGATGAGGGAACATCAAAGGGTGACACTATCGAGAGTGATTTGTCTCTTCTCGTCAGTGAGGTCAGTACTCAAGACGTTCAGATTCACAGCATGGAGAGCCTTCCTGAAGAGAAAGACATCAACAGCTACGACTGCCTATCTACAACTGAAAAGACTCCAGACAGTAACAATCATTCGAAGGAGCGGAAAGATACTAATAATCACCAGGAAGTCCAGCATCAGCCTGTAACGACCAAGAGACAGGAAACGGCAAAACACGACAAGAAGACACCCAAGTCCCACTCCTTGCCAGACATTTTTCCATTCAACCAAAAGCGCCTGTCCATTGGATCAGATACAAAGGGGACTCTAAAATCCTTTTTGTCAACCAACATGCTGCCATCTTTGTCACGGGATTCCAGCCCCAAATCTGTGACAGATGTGTTGCCCATCGACCATTTTCTAAGGGGCCAGGAGGTGAGAGATGTTGAACTCACACCTCTTCGCGAGGATTCACACGAGTCTTCCCATCCATATAACAGAATGGGGAAGAAATCCAAGCGCTACGGGAGCGAAGATGCGCTGCCTATCCTCCGCAGTCGATGCAGGAGCATCGGGGAAAAGTTTAAACCCGGACGGCCTAGGGAGCAGAGATCGAAGAGCGACGGCACAGGGCCGTACCAGAGCGAACGATCGCCGCTGCTGAGTCAGGCTGTTGCGTTATCTCTGAGATCGATTGGAAAAAACGATCAGAAGTCGACTGAAGGGCTGGAGGCATCTGGAGATCACAGAACACGTCCGCTGGAAATTAGCGTTTTGGGTCACGGGTCTGCCGGAACAGCAGAGGACCAAGTCTGACGTGGTCAATAATGTATTTTATCATTACCAGTGACTGACTCACAGGAGATTGTTGGGACCAATTAAAGAAGTATTTATCACTTAAGTCGGACCGAGGGGTAAGAATTGCCCTTATTAATGATTTCCTAAGGTAAGGAGGAGTGTCAACTCAAGTGTACGGGTGTTAGTTCTGGATGTTACGGAAGGAACCAGTTAATGTTTTTATGGTAAAACCATGAAAAACAGGCCTTTTACCAAAGGTCACACATTTAAAAAAATTAAAATTATACATTCTCTCCCTAGCACATAACCGGGTCTTATTGAGCAAAACTTGCCCAGGAAACCCCCCCCCCCTTCAATCGTGTACGATGTGGCCATTCTGCATATGGTTTGTTTGTGGTTTGAGGAATGTTCTGAGTCTGTGGCTTTATACTCTGCGACATAGGAGGGGATCTTGTTAAAGTGTTTCGAAACCTTCAATAGCACAAAAAGTTTGAAGTAACATCCATGTGATGCTGCAAGTTATGAAATGACATACAATAGGTAAATGTCATAATTGCTGAAATATAGTGCGAAAATATCATCTAAAACCAGATGTTGATTTTTACACTATTCGTAATGACAATGATAATGATCAAAAGTGAAAGATGTATCATACAACGTCATAGGAGACAGTTTTGGTATGTCTTTTATAAGCTACGTGATTGGTTAGTATGTATGTGAAAACCTTTCTAATTAGTCGTATGGCCATTGTGAAACAACACTTTAATGTAAAGAAACGTCAGCTGTAGACAAGTCCTTTTTTATAATTGTATTCTGTGTACAGTAAACCGGACTCTTCTATCTGGAGCAACCCGTTTGTATTTCAGTGTCAAACGTTTACAACAATGTTACTGTACAGACTTTAGAGATGTTCTATAGTTTTGTCAAAGATTGATATTTGCAACGAAGTGATTCTATCGTACAATCATGTGGTGTCTTAGAAAAAAATCGTGTTCTGGTAAATTGTTCAAAATTTTTAATACAGATATTTGTCTTTTAAACATACACTAATAGGCAATAAGCATTAGTACATTGTTTATCGCTAGCTGCTTTGGTACTTTTTAGTTAGTATTCTAATTCCGTAGACTACGTAAAGGAGATGAATCTTATTCGATTGGTGAATACCATTTTCTCCACCAGAGCCTATCTTCAGGCTTCATGTCGGCAAGACAACCGATATGTCAATGTCAAAAATTCTGAAGAGATATGAAAATTGTTATGCTTCTAGCCTTAAAAATGTGACCTTCATCTAAGTATGTACTCTCAAGCGTGGGTGGCCACTGTTGCATATCTTTGCTTACCAGTACGTGTTTGACCGAAATCATGTGCTGTGCATATTACTTACCAGGTAATTCGGAACATTCTGTATAGTAATAATGGCGAAATCTGAGGTAGTTTTTGTGGACTACAGGTACCTGTATGTGGTAAACTAGTACGAGTACGCACTGAAATGTGGTTCTTTGCACCAAAAAAAACTGCACTGCCTGTCTACTCTCTCTACATGCAAATAAGAACAGTGACTGTAGTAGATTAAAATTTGGGGAACAGCTGACTTTTAGGTACTCCCGTTGAAGGGCTACGTTACCATTGCTTTTGCCGAAGGAATTTCTAAAATCATTGAAATGTTATTGAAGAGATTCATTTGTCACGTAAAGATACAGTTCCTAGTGAATTCTTTCATCAGTGACAACTTTGGAAGGATAAGGATACTAACCTCCAAATTTTCGATGGCTATCAGTCCATCTTGTTCACGGAGTGGCCTAATCTCGCGAGAGCGCGAGACTAGGCCCGAGACTTGCATCGGTCTGTCGGGTCCCACCCCCCGCTGCCTCCCTCCGGAGTAAGGGTAAGTAAGTGCGAGATTAGGCCACTCCGTGAACAAGATGGACTGATAGCCATCGAAAATTTGGAGGTTAGTATCCTTATCCTTCCAAAGTTGTCACTGATGAAAGAATTCACTAGGAACCGAAATGTTAGACTTAAAGCGTTGTTCTTAAGGGTTGGTGATCAGATATGTGTCCGTTCAGTATAAGAAGAATTAAAGTTGAATGTAAAGTAGCAACGTTACTTGAAGTGTACCGCCATCTACATGTTACCACTGGCAGTGCAGGGTTTGGTCATGTGCCAAACAAATAGAATAAACTTATTTTTGTGTCCAACAGTTTTCTGTACATTGTGGTTCTTCAACGAAAGTCGAACACAATTCTAAAAGACTTAATTACAAAGAAATTGGACCAATTAAAATGATAAATGTTTAGGACTGAAAAGACGTTACACGGAGAACACCAGACCAATGGCAACTTCAGTCTGATTAACCTACAGAATTTGAGAAGTATCTTTAAAAAAATAGGACTGATTAGCATGCATGTACAATGGCACATAAAGGGCAAATACACATTCCGCATTTCTGACAATAACAGCTAGAGACTCTTCATACCACATATTAGACACGAGTAACACATTTCAAGTAAAACAATCCTACAGCGTTGTTACTGACATGAGAATCTTATACTACCCAAGAATTTGGAGACTGTTCACACTCTTCTTGATAGTGATGTGAGACGTTTTTTTAGGATTGATCCACGACGACTTAATGACAACAGATATATTCTCCTATGTAATATTATATGTATATACAGATGGTACATTTTTGTGAGGCGAGTTATTTGCCTCTCCAGCAATCCAGTTTTTACCTGGCCCTTTTTTTGCAACGTCTTTCACCTATCATTAGCATAGCATTTAATGTAGTCCAATTCAAGTCACCAAGGTGACCAATTATTTGAGTCACACATCGTCATCACATTTACGCTACCCAACCTGCTCTTAATTTTTCATTCCCATCGTGTCCCTGGCTAACTCTTTTGAAATCATGTCGTTTTGTGATCATTTGCATGTTATAGTTTTATCACTTCTGGGATGAGTACCGTTAATCACTGATCCTAGTAGACGGCAGACTGAAGACATCCGTACCGGCAGTTTCTACCCGCTTCAGGGATCCTGACGGGTCAGCAGAGGAGGCGGGGCTGAAGCTGAGCTGAGGCCGCGGGCAGGGCGTCGTGCTGCGACCGTTATACACCTGTCAATCAACCAGTGACAGATCATTTCAACAATAGCGCTCATTGATTGATTGATTGATTGATTGATTGATTGATTGATTGATTGATTGATTGATTGATTGATTGATTGATTGATTGATTGATTGATTGATTGATTGAATGATTGATTGATTGGCTGATTGATCGATTGATTGATTGAACGACAAATATTGTAATTTTCTGATCTTATAATCTAAGTAAAGGTCACTGAGATAAAGCAGAAGCAAAATGATATCTTACTACAACTCTATATACTAATGTAAATTACCTGTGTATAGGTTCAAATTACTAGATGTATAAAGCTTAAGTAACACATGGTTTGTCTAGTTCCACAAGGAGTAAGATTTTTCTGATCTATCTAAATATGGAAAACTGGGAAAATTGTCGTGTATATAATTAAAGACTACATTTCTAATATATTATAATATAAGTGTATAATGTACAATCAATCAGTCAATCAATTAATATCGCATTGTAAGTATGGCAAAGACAAGTTCTAGTATTACGGCACTATTGAATAGGGTACGTCTGCATAAAGAGTGTTACGACAGAAATGTCCATATCCTACCCCTGATCCAGAGACCCCAACCCGAGATCGGACGCCGGCTTTGCCTTTGTAAACAGCGTAGATCTTCGGGCCGAAGAAACAGATGAGAGCTGATGTGTCGTTTACCATCAGGGCCCCGGCATGGCAGATAGTCCTGAGGGGTAAACGCAGTAAATTATACACTTTTAGGTCACAATAAGTAATTTTATGGATGATATCAGCGCGCGCGTTGATTTTCGCCTGATTTTGGAAAAAAAAAGAAATTGTGTTGCCATACCAGAACGTGGATGGCGGAACGTGGAGACAAGACAAGGCTCTGATTTATTGTTTTGTCTTTTACTTTGATGCAGTGATGTATTTCATTCCTCATTCCATTATATGGAACGGTGGAATGGACCTTGCCTACCTGTTCATAGGCGTGGACACTGAGAAGTAGGTTGCGATGAACGCCACCCACAGAACAACAGTCGTGTACACCTAGTGGGGAAAGAAACGCATTCATTGGCTCACGTCAATCATTACAATCCTGTCCTAATTTTAATTTTCCGCGGAATGTTAATAAAGGGTTAATAAAGGGCCCGGGGTGTATATGGTGAGATAATCACTGGTTATCAGGTGCGATAACCACCGAATAAACCGCCAAGTGAGCGTAGCGAACGAGTTTCAGTGCCCTGTCCCCTGTATAATGGTACGGTCCAAAAAGCGTTCGGTTATTCTAATAATCGACCCCTTTTAAGGTCACAGCCTGATAACCAATGACAAATGGAGCCTTCTGATTGGTCGACGCCTTCTGGCTTTATGATAATTTTCCTTAACCCTACAGTGGCCATATTCCCCTGACCATCCAATTATTGCATAATTATTGTCGCTAAGTCGAAATTTTACTGTTTCAAACCCGCGTTGTTAGTCTGGTAGAGACTAGCGGGGAGGTTGATCCGCTATCCATTTGGCTAAATTTCTAGTCTATCCAGCCGCTTTCAAACCTGGAAACTTATGAATCGTGACTCGTTGTAGCAGGCCGGCAGACTGCGTGTTTTGAAGGCGTAGTACACGCAGAGGAGGATGATGAGTAGGTTGTACAGGATAGACGCCACCACCTCCTGCAAGTTGCTCTCCCGCCTGGTGGCCAAAAAAAAAATCAAAGTCTAACTTTGTTTAAAGTTAAAACTTTTGGTCCAACACAAAGAATTCTCTCACCTAGAGCTTTCGATCAGTCACTCTGGTCTTCCTCATGAGACTGACCCAGTGAAGCTTGTCACGTGGCTTCTTTGAAGTGTGACGTCAACACTGGGTCAAAGGTATCTGGTAGACAAGCTTCACTGGGTCAGTCTACTGAGGAAGACCAGAGTGACTGGTCGAAAGCTCTAGGTGAGAGAATTTTTTGTGTAGGACCAAAAGTTTTAACTTTAAACATACATGTACACATGTATGTGAAAAGCTCTGCATCTCTGAAAGAAGCATCAACAGTACAGAAAGAAATATACATGTACATATATATCTTGATTATTAACATGAAAGAAGCAAGAAATCAGTATTTC